TACTGCAGCACATTGTTAAAAAAATAACAATATTACTCACAGCTGCACATTGTTGAAAAACTAATATAGAAATGTAAGTGCTCAACAGCACATTGTTGACATGTAATTAAGTGCTACTGCAACACATTGTTACAAAATAGCATTTTGTGCTACAGTTGCACATTGTTGAAAAACTAATATAGAAATGTAAGTGCTAAACAGCACATCGTTGAAAGGATAACATGTAATTAAGTGCCACTGCAACACATTGTTACAAAGATAACAAATTGATTAACATGTTGAAAATAATTTAATAMAATCCTTCTGACTTCATTCACAGACATATTGATCTGTTCTTAGTTTCTTTTCCCTTCCTTTTTTTTACTTTGATTTCAACCAGTATCTATATTTAAATTGTATCTGTGTGTCATTGTTATTACACAAAATTGTGACATTATGCCATTATGCTCTATTTTAGTAGGATTATGAACATAATGAGCATTGAAAAATGGTGAGTAAAATTTTTGGAGTTGACAAAATGCATGATTTCAGACAAAATCATGATAATTGAAGTGAAATGCAAGTCTAGTTACTTTTTTAGGAAACTTGTGCATTTATATTAACACAACTGCTATATATTTTTTATTTTTTTTATTTACATGACAACCACAGTACTTTAAATATAGCTACCTTTTATACCTTTCAGCCAAAATGCTGTGGGTTGCCATGGAAATTCCATTCGCCATATTGAAATTGGACCAAGAGCTGCCCAGTGTTCTTCTTATACACCAGGCCAAATACAATTACKTTGACCTGATGATTGAACCTACAACCAGCAGTCAGCCGCCTYTTCAAAAACGCCCTTACTTCCTTGACAGATTTCCCAGACAGACCAGCAAGGACAGATTCAACAAGTTCATAAGATGGAAGAGAGATTACATCTCCCTTCTTGTTCCCTGACAGGTAACATTCTGGCTGCACAGCTTTGATATCCCTCAAGTACTGCCGCATGGCCAAAAATATATCATAAGGCACATTCCTAGTGATCTCACCAAAATATGGTCTCCTCATTCCAACTTTGCCTCCCAACCTACAATGGATCCCGTTGAGCCATAACATTGATTCATGTAGCAGCACTGATCCAACATTTATGGTTCGAGTATTTAATAGAGAAGAAGCTTCTTGACAGTCTAAATAGTAGATTTGAGAGAGAGGAAGAGAGAGTAGAAATAGCTAGATCAGACAAGAATTTAAAAAATTGCCGTTGCCATGCCTACCATGCTCATATTTTTTTNGAAGAATACGACTCATTCGACAAAGGTCCAGATGTACCTCCAGACCAAGATGATACAACTCATCCTTTGCGTTTACATCGTCTAAGAATCAACCGACGCGAAGACTCCTCAATTGTAGTGCCAGGCAGAGCATTCCTCCCAGCTCGGAATCAAACAAGTATTAGGCAGCGAATTCACAGTCCCATAGCTGCATTACCTGAACCACCAAGGAGCCAATAATAACCCAGAACTCTAACTCTATTGTAAATACATATATCTTATTTTTGAACAAAGTGAAATGAGCTTCTAGCAGAAAGCAAATATCATTTCTCTCGAATAATTGACTCTGAATAATCTACGATATACCAAGTATATGCAGATGATGTCAACTAGCAAGACAGCGATTGAACCACAAAAACATCAACCAACAGAAAGAGCAGCATATTTTCACGCTCTTCGATTGCATGTCACTACACGAAATGGTAGATTTACGCGAACGTAAAGCTACCGTAAACTGATTTAATCATATAATTTAAGAATCTTTACGGTCCTTTATRAAATGTAAAGCTCATATTTACTTGGCCTTTTCTGGGTTGCGTAATGCGATGTAAGTGGCACCATTTACTTAGGTTTACGCTTCGCTTAAATGCAAATAAAGCTATAGTAAAGTTATCTTTAAGCGGCGTAAAGTTAGATAAAGGTTACCATTAAGTTGTTGGTAAAGCGATGTAAAGATAAATAAACTTCACCATTACGTTTGCCGTAAAGGCATTGAATGTTAAACAAAGGTAACCATTACATTCGCGGTAATAGCGACGTAAATATACGTAAACTTCACGATTACGCGTTTGCTATAAAGTCATGGAAAGTTAAATATACGTYACCATTACGTTTTACGGTAAAGCGAAGTAAAGATAAGTAAACTTCAACATTACATTAATATTTCGTAAAACAGCGATTAAATTGAAAAATTCCTATCTTTACATTTCTTGTAAACCAATCAAGAATAAAGTGATTTTCCGCTTAGTAACAATACTAGACACAAACATTTGGAAAATATGACAATTTATCATTCGTTTCTTAATACATCTTTATTGAAAAGTTTTAAGAGAATTTGTTAATCAATAATGTGAAATAATCGATAATAAATTATTACCACAAAGTATATTAAAAAGCCATTAAAATAGTGGCAATAAAAACTAGAGCCATATAGTATAGCACTTAAAATGTCTTAAAATMTTAAAATGTAGTAAAAATACAGAAGATCTGTGAATCAGTGCATTTATTATGCATGATTAGGTGTGCTTGTTCYATTTGGAAGTGAGAAAGATTGGGAACTTGAGCTTGTTGACGTACTTAAATCTSTAATGACAGGTTTCTTAGCAGCCCATGATAAGGGCTCAAAAGGTATTGGCCTCTTTGATTTTAAGTTTTTGGTACGTCGTCTTGGAACAATCATGGCTTGTGWCCTCTTTGACAAAGAWTTAAAATAGACTCTGTCAAGATGACGTTTTACATTAGTTAATTTTGCTCTTTCCCAGGGTAGTTCTTTCATGTTATAGCACACCAGGTCAAGATATCCTTCGCGGTCCCGACTTTCTTCGTATTCGCTCTCATCAGAGCTGGTATAGTCCAATGTCAATGCTTTTGATACTTGATCTTTTGTTGCTTGTTCCCAGTCGATTTTACCGAGTGCGACTTTCCTTTTGGCCAACTTCTGTAGAGAGAAACAGATGAATGGTTACAACCACAGGGAGCACAGGCTCTTAAATATCAGTGGTTCGTATGTAAACTCCTATCCCCTCCCTCGTATATTTTAACGTTATCTTAAAGATTTTGTACGAAATCACAAAATTCTTCGTGACAAAAGGTACATAACCAAATCGGTTGAAACTTCCCCAGGGGATTTTTGCTTACATCAGAGTATAAACTCGTTTGTTATTGGTTGATGCTGGCGCATGCGCATGCAAGTTCTTCTGGACCCTTTTTCTCCGCGACGASCCGTTCAACGGAGCTGGTCAAAAAAGGGTCTGGGACTGGACTAGGTATCTGTACAGTATTCCACTCATTTTTACTGTTCATTGATCTTAGYCCCTCTCGCTTTATMYGTACAGCCTCTGATATTTGTCTCAGCATGGGGTCCCTGTGGAACGTCTCTGTGATGTTCATTTCGAAGTCCTGTACTACTTTTTCATGTTTATCCGTACAGTGAGTTTTCATGATAGATCTTTCTCCAACGGTGTCCATATCTTTAAGGTGCTCTCTGCCTCTGGTGTATCCACTTCTCGCCGTTTCTCCCACATACTTATCACCACAAGATTTACATTTGATTTCGTACGTAATATTGACGGCTCTACATGATCCATTTCCTCCTGTCCTACATACCAAGCATATCATCTCTACTGCATAAACGAGTTTTGAAGGGATCCGATCGTTGTAATACTCCCTTGATGTTTACATTGATTTTCTCTACGATCTTGATCTTTAGTCCAGAGTTGTTCACATCCTTCTGTAGGAGTCTCCTAAGTTCTGAGTCTGGTGTTGACGGTACAAATATCACGCTAGAATACCCTCCTTCCTTATACCAATTAACTTTCTTGCTTCTCTTGATGGTTTCTCACTCACTCCTTTTCCAGTCCTTCGTTCTGTACATGGGTCTAACCCCGTTTCTATCTCGTGATGTTATCCTATTGTAAGCCTCTAATGCTGACCTCACCACCTCATAGCGGAAAGGATGGTCGTAGCCTGAATATTGCGTGCGTGCAACCATATGGTTAACATGTGTGGCTGTTTGTTCCCAAGGCAACAAGGTACTGCAATTGAGTAGGACTCGTAGGATCTCCTGAGTCATGATGGTGCGTTTAGTTGCCGACGGTATAGCTGAGCGCGGGTGAATCACAGCTTTTGAGGGGATATCCTTAGAGTAGAATTCATGTAGTACTACATTCACCCCTTCCCTCTTCTCCACCCAAACCTTTAAGAGTGGATGTCATCATAAATCGAACATATCGTGGCAACAGTCAAAATTTAGATTTTGCTCATACTTTCATGATTAGTAGTCCTACTGAAACCTAAGAATCGAGGTATACCTTGTTTGATCAAATTACTTATATTTTTCGAGAAAATCGAGAAAATCGATTTTGCCAAAATTTATGCAAATTTCACGGTCAAAAATTGGTAAAGTTTAGTGATCTCGTTTTCGCTTAAAACTAAATAATATTTCTTAAAACTTTTCAAGCATGTTAAACGTTGTATGACGTATGTTTGAGGTGGGTTTCTTTGAATTTCGTGTTTGTGTTTGTGATTTATAATTTATTTTGTTGGACCCGTTGAAAATTGTCAAAAAAGTACCAACATTTTAAAGAAATGTTTTACACCTTACTACGCAAAAAAACTTAGAGAAATTTACAGATTTGTAAGAACTAATAATGAGCTTTCAGATGATATAAAATTCATTTTGGGTTTTTATGTTTAGGCCATGAAAACAGTGTGGACTTTCGAGGAATTTTTTTGAAAATTTGCATAATTCAGTACGATCAAAACAAGTGCGTAGCGTGAATAAATTAAAATTGTTTGATTTTCTTTTTCAAGATACTAAAATGTTCAACTTTTTATTAGATTTTTGGGCCAAAATTATTTGTTGTGCAAGGTACTAAAGTTTTTGTATACCTCTTTTTCTCATAAAAAGCGAACCCACAATGCCCGACAAAGCACCAAGAATGTGAAATGAAATCTACAACTCGTAGACAATATAATAACACTGTCGCATAGCTTTTCACTTTAAGTTAATAACATGGAGTTTCAGTGCTCGTTTAAAGATTTCGTTAACATAGCTGCCGCTTGTGGTTGGAAAAGAACTTACCGGGACAAAGATTCTTTTGATTTCAGTGGCGAGAAGCTATTGGTGCCCTTATTGTCTTGTGACAAGGAAATTTCTAGTCACAAATCGATTTTTGCTTTCACGGATCCCTCCAACGAGATCGACCTAATACTCTGCCGTGCAGGTATCTTTAGTAGGCCCGCAAATATTCAAGAATGGGTTATTTGCTCAAGCCATCGATACTCACTGGGTTTGGGCTGGACCAGAGGCTCAAACACAAGATGTAGAGTTCCCGCCGCTTTGTCAAATCATGGCAAGGGAAGGTTGAAATGGCCTAGATATGAGCGTGGAATAAACAAACAGCAATCCGAGGAAATATTATCGCATACTGGAATTTTCATGCCAATTGGCTCAGGTATAGAAATAATGCAGACTTTATATGAAAACATATTCACTTATATTAACCATGTTTTTTTTCTACAACAGGCATTTGCTCTAGGTGTAGAAAAGAGCTACTAAATGTAAAAAAGCAGGAAAATCAAGACTTAGGGGTACTTTCTTGCGATGTGACTGAAAGYCTTGCGAAACTCAGTTTAGTAAGTATTCAGCGTGAATGTTAGACACGTCAAGAATCCAACGGCAAATTCGAAGAAGGCACTTTGCTATTTTTGCCGTTAAATCTAATGTGATGGGTCCTACAGAGTCTTGCACTCGTAGCTCGCTTCACACAACATGTAGCACAGATAGGGATTGCGTGCGTGCGCGCGCCTCTAATACATTTATATTCTAGCAACTTATGCTTGTGGGCTTCCTGTGTCCACAAGCCTATATAAAAAGTCGTCTGTAGCAAAGAAGTGAAGGACTAC